TATTATTAATAATTATTTTTCTACAAATCGACTAATGTCTAATTATACTGAAGTATGGTATATTGATCATTATTGTTATAAATTCTAAATTTTTTTATGTGAATTAACAAGTCAGGTATACGAGACATTTATTTGTTTGCAACATGCCTTTATTAACTCATTAGCAAGCCTGTAAGATAATAAGTCATGTTTAATCCACTTTCTTTGACTATAGCTTTTGTCATAATTTATTTGATCTTACTACAAACTTTATATTGCTTTAGAATATAATGATGCATCAAATATTCTTACTACTTTTTAGAGATGTCAAATATTAATTAATTATGAATATAGATCTACGGCCTAATTTTTTGTTTTTGTTTTTTTTTTTTTTTTTTATCTAATATATACAAACTTATAAATTTGTCATGTCTGGATGAACTTTATTTGATATAATGTATTTATTGAATACATGATGGACAGCAATATATATAATTTCAATATTGTCGGGGTAAATTTTCTAGTTTATTTTTCTTTTAAAATGAAAATCCTTTTTATTTAAAAAAAGACGGAATATTAAATAGAGGAGGGACAATAATAAATGGAAAATCAGCTTGGTAGAGAAGCCACGTGACCTTATCATTTCAAAAGATATTTTTTTCCCCACTTGTTTTAAAGAGGAATTAGGGTTCCTAAAAGTGATGGATCTGTCTTTAACCTCATTTTTAGTACTTTTTTTTTTTTTTTTTTTTTTTTTTTTTAATAAAATTATTTGGTCAAACCCACTTTTCATTGCTTCCTGCTATGTGCCTTCTGCTGAATCCGGACAGCGACTCTTTAGCCTTGCCCTTAATTTGGTCGGTTTGTTAATGGGCTGGGCCGAGTTAAGAGGTCGGTTTAAACTGGGCCTGGCTCCATCCACATCCCTTCTAAACACTCCTAATTCAACTTGGGCTACACGAGGCTCGAAAACCATCAAGTCTGCTTGAGTTATGGGCCCAGTAAGGCCCATTATGATTATGGTAGTCAAGGCAATAGTCATGGGCTGGCCTCCAATTGCCTTGACACGATGATTTCGTTTTTTATTTTATTTTTTTATTTTTAATGCATAAAATTCAATATTTTTCTCTATTTATTTAGAAATATTTATGGAATGAATTTTGAATTTCTTTTTATTAAAGTGATATTGAGTTGAGTTCAAGAGGAAAATAATAATAATAATAATAATAATAAAATAGCTATAATGATTATTAGTTCAGATTTAAAAATATAGAATTTTAATTGATAATATGTAAATTGTTTTGGAGGGTAATAAAAAGCCCCCAAACTTGCGAAAAACAGGGCAGATGGCGACCTTGATAGATACGGGTTCTATAGATGACAGATTTAAAAGCTTCCGCCGTCGGTGTCGGTGATTTGATGATTGATCAAACGAGACGGCGCGAAATTGTTAGAATGAAGAATCAAAGGCTAAGCCTATGCCTGAAACAGGAGCAGGCGGTCGCAGGAGGAACAGCTGGGATGCACCATTTGGGCTCCGGACTCCCTCCCTGTCGCACACCAACTGTTTGTTTTATGTCCTCGCTTGTTTTAATCTCCTTTTCAGTATTACGCTAGTTTTAAGCATCCCGTTGATTGATTTGAACCCTCCCTCATAACAAAAGACAAACTACATAGCATTAATACAACAATTAATTACGGAGATTTTGATCGCATCCTCCTTTTAGGTAAAGTGTAGGCTGGATTCCACGTCTTGGTGTGTTAAAGCAATCTTTAGCTGTCTCTTTCTTCTGTGCGTTTTCTAAGTCAAACCATGGTCTTACAACCCTTCATAGTACAGGAGGAAAATAAGGCCAATAAATAAACACTTGTCTAAAAGTCACATTCTATGTGCTGTTTTAATCTTTAGAATTACATAAAGTTACAAAAAACAAAGAAAAAGAAGGCATATCAATTCATAATTCCCGGACATTGTAGCAGATAGATGTGAAAGGCACGTCTTTTGTCATCAAGGAGAGATGCGAATTTGGATTCTTCCTAACAGGAACCCAACCAAACGCCAAAGCTAATTGTATGTGTATATACATAAAAGTTGGTTCTTTTAGGCCTTCTCTCTAACGTGACTTTCTCTGTTTTCAACCTCTCTAATAACATAGGGATCCAAAGAAAGAAAGAGGGCATTTTGGTGATTCCCCTGTTAAGTATTATGATTAAACTTAATTTTTAAGTTTGGGTTTGGTTTTCTGATTGCTTTACAGCTTTGTCTTTGAGAGGGGTTTTGCTTTCTTGTTTTGGATGATAGAAAATATTGAGCATGAAAAGCACTGAACTAAGTTAAGCCCACAAGGTTTTCTTAATAGCTTGCTTGTGTTAAACCTCAAAACTAGGTGATCGAGTAATGCATTTGTTATGGTAGAAATCCTGTCTTAAACCTCAACACAGTTTGAATGAGTCACCAAAGAAAGACCCATAAAGAAAGAATCTAAAATTTGAATGGGACATGACATGTTTCTTAATTCTAGCACAGAGAGAGATGGACCGAATGGTAAAGCAAGTTAAAGAGAGTGATGGGGTTGGCAATGGCAGGAGATGGCAATGGTTTGATGGAGGTAGGCCATTAAGTTTTGAGAAAGCTACTCTCTTTCTCTCTCTCTAAAGAAAAAAAAAAAAAAAAAAAGGGAAAGCGGGCAGAGAACTTTAATCTCCATGCAAACAGCAGTGTACCACGCACAGTTATGTGGTCGCTCTCAGATCGGTTGCTATCCACAATTTACTTTCTCTGTTGACCTCTGTACATCTCTGTAATCTTTGCTTTAGATTTTGTTTTGGATTGCATTTCCTATTCTTACAAGAATATCATTTAATATACCATTCACTCTCACTGTGTTTAACAAGGAATTTTATGTAGGGCCCTACGGCTACTCTGTTACCTAACCTCTGCACAAATACCCCTTCATTTCTATTATGGATTTTGGGTGTCCTTAATGCCAGGAGTAGTAGTATAGTATAGAGTATAGCCCTTTTGTGTAGGATCAAACTTAGGGGTTGCTGCTGAGCTGAGGCTCGTTAACCCCTTTTTTTTCCTGTGGTTTTCAATTTTCAAACTTAACCTTCAGTTCAGTCCAATTGTCCTTGGTTTTGAACCCTATTGATTTTGACATATGCGGATCGTTATAATATATTGTATTTTTTTTTACTTTCTTTTTTTAGCTTTTCTTCCAAGATTTAAAACACATCTACCAGAGAGATTTTAAAGTTCTAAAGTTTGGTTTGGGAATGAAATGGTATCGGTGATCGGGGTTATTGTGGGGGAAGGAGGGGGAGTCATGAATGTTTTTTCATGATTGCTGCAATCAAAAAGAGAGTTTTGTGTCTTTAATATAATTTCCAAAGGAGAAACAAACCAAATGATGCCCTCTTGAAAATCTGTCTCCATGAACTTAGTCATGCAAAATTGTGCATGCAAGAACATGGTGAAAGATATTTTCAGAATGGATGGGATTGAGACTTCAAAAGGGACCCATAATGTGGGAATTTCAATCATCACAGTTTCGACCCTAAAGGCTCATTTTTTTTTTTGCATATTTTATTTTTAGTCCTTCATTTTCTAAAGATTTAATATTCTTAATTATCATCCATTTCTCTTGTTTGATAAACCGATGGTAGACTTTTTTTGTTAACAATTTTACAATCATAGCCACCTTGAAAGCCAGGGTATCATTTACTAATCTTTCTTAATTAATATCTTTATTTTGAAATTTACCTTTTGAAATTTAGTGCAAATTTTAAACATAGAAAATAGTTTTAAAATTGACTTTAGATGTTCTATATATATAAAGAGATATTTGAAGACCAACCCAGTTTGAAATCTGGGTAAAAAAATTTGCCTTTTGTTTTGGAAGTTTGCAAGCATTTCAAAGGGATTCATAAAAATTGAAAAGAAAGAATAAATTGAAAACAGTAGCAGAGAAGAAAAAACACGACAGTTCTGATGATGTTAGAACCATGGTGGGGAAGGAAAATAATTGGGTCAATAATTGAGATCACTGTGTATAATTAGATGCAGCTAAGAACAAATGATTTGCTGAATTAGATTTTGAAGCTTCTTAGTGTCACTGTTGGTTTGTGGGTAAATCAGTATTTGTCAAGAAGTGGGTTTGGCAGCTTTCAGAGGCTTGATACCTCCTCTGTTTCCTTTACTCTAACCAGTCTTCTTCACCGTCTCCTTTCTTACCTTTTGCTTCATTAAGTCACCTTGTAAGTCCATAGCTAGCGGGTGTAACTGCTCAATTATGTATACATTTTTTAAAAAATGGGTGTGATTATAAGCGTGCGCTGATTCTGATGAAACAAAGAAGCACTCAAAACTGAAGGGCTAAGGATAAGATTCTGTCATGTCCTAATTGGCATGAAAAAGTGTTGTTTAGTTGGTGGCTAATGGGTGGGTATGTCCACAGTCGGCCATTGCCCAACGCATTCAACGAGGTGGGATTTTGATAAAAGGGAGTTTCTTTCTTTTACACTTTTCTTTTCCTCCTTCTGAAGCAGTAAGCAGTCACCGAATAAAAAGACTACAAAATAGAGGGAAGGAGCAAAGCAAAGCAAAGCAAAGGGTAGGATCCATCCAAGTAGAGCAAGGTTTTTGAAGTTGAAGGAGGAGCAGTGGAGTAAACGGGGAGAAACGGTGCCGTATGTGGCGAGCTTTTTATTTTGCTTTTTTGGTGGGCGTAGCTGGCGAATGCCTACGAGGCCGTTTGGGATGTGTAGGTCCATGCAGAACAGAAGCTGCTAAATATATGAAGTGACTAAAGGGACAGTTTGTCTTCCGTTTGTGTAATCTAATTCAAGGTCCTCAGAGGCGTCATCAGACCATTTAATCACATTAATACGGTGGATCCCACTTCCACAGAGCCCACTATTTGTCAATAATTTTTAAAGGGTACTTGACTTTGCTTCACTTGGCATAGGTGGGGAGAGGAGGGGAGGGGAGGGGAGTGGTGGGGTGGGGTGGGGTGGGGTGCCCTTCAAGTCCGAGATTATACACATACAGAGAGCAATGAAAGGCGTCCTTCTCTCTTCTGGTTTTGCATGTTTATATTAATCTATAAAAGATAGCTTCAGCAAAACCATGCCTTAAATCCAAGAGCATAAAGAAGCAAAAAAGAAAAGAGTAGGTGGAGAGCGTAGGGTAAAGCAACAAAAGGATGTTCTTTCTCACACACAGATCCCTATAGGAATGCATTGCCTCTCCGCCCAATGCTCATTCTATTTCCTCGATTTAAAGCCCCTTGCTTTCTTCAAAGACAGAGCGGGTTGTTTTGTTGGTAGTGTTGGTCATAGGCTCTAAGTTTCTTTATGAGACGGGTTAGACATGATTCTCTGTGCTGCTAGCAAACAAACAAAATATATCCAGTTTCAAAGTGGGGGTGAAGCAAGGATTTGTTGAAATCATTAGAGCCTTTTTTTTTCTTTTTCCTTCAAATTTTCAATCATTTAGAGCATTGGGTTTGAAAGAGGGGTGGATTGAAGGTGAGGGTTGAGCGAATTCCATGAATAATGTTAATGGCAACAACTGTGACTGGCTAGGCTTCTCTGTCTCCCCTAACGTTAGCATGGAGCTTTCTTCTTCCTCTGCTACTGCTGTCTCCTCTTCAATTCCTGCAAACCTTTTTCACTCCCCATCACAATTTAACTATGGCATTTGCTATGGCGTTGATGGAGAAAATGGTGGCTTTTATTCACCATTGTCTGCCATGCCACTCAAGTCAGATGGCTCATTTTGTTCAATGGAATCACTCAGCAGGCAGCATCCACAAGGTTAGGATATGTCCCTGAATTTACTCTGTGCTCGAGTTAGAAGAAATATAACATTCTTAAATTTCTTTTATCTTATTTTGTTTTATTGCTCCCTTTTGGATTTGAAGTGGCGAGTAGCTCTACTCCAAAACTAGAGGATTTCTTCGGTGGCGCAACTATGGGGTCCCATCACTATGAAAGCAATGGCAGGGAAGCTATGGCTCTCAGCCTCGACAGCATTTTTTGCCATCAAAACCCAACTCATGAGCCCAACAACCAACCCTTTGCGCATTTCTCATCCTTGAGAAGCCGTGAAGGGATGCTTCAAGACTCGAAGGTAATCCTGCCTGATGGGTGCAATCTGCAGCAGCAGCAGCACCCACCAGCAGTGATAGAGACTAAGAATTCTGGTCTGAATTGGGCTGTTCCTAGGAACTATGCAGTCGCTAATAATGGTTCGTTCGAGCAGAAGATGGTGAGTTTCATGAGTGAAAATGGTGGAGAATCTGGTCCCATTAATGCCATGGCTTATGGAGATTTACATTCATTGAGCTTGTCCATGACTATGAGCCCTAGCTCTCAGTCAAGCTGTGTTACAGCCACACAGCATGCTTCACCTGCCCTGGCAGACTGTTCTGCTGTGGATACAAAGAAAAGAGGCCATGAGAAGCTTGATCAGAAGCAAATTGTTCATAGGAAGTCTTTAGACACTTTTGGACAGAGAACCTCCCAGTACAGAGGGGTTACAAGGTCTCCCACTTCTTTCTCTAAATTCTTCACTTTACAATTCTTTTCTTTTCTTAAATCTCGAAGCTGCTTTGTTTTATTTATCTTCATACTCATTCCATCTTTCAATGCTTCATTATGTCAATCAGGCACAGATGGACGGGTAGGTATGAAGCACATTTGTGGGATAACAGTTGCAAGAAAGAAGGTCAAAGCAGGAAGGGAAGGCAAGGTAAAAGAAATAAATAAATACAAAAAAAGCATTATGGGCTTCAGTTTCTTGCATGAATCAATATTTTGTTTGTTCTTGCGAAAATCATAACCCACTCAATTGGTTTTTTCTTTGTTTGTTTGGCTGGGATCGCCATTGGATTCAAATGATGATGTCCAGTGTACCTTGGTAAGCATTCAGAATCTGGACAGAGTAATTATTGATCAAGTTTTTCCATCTTATTATATGACTAATCAAGTGGTTCCAAAATTGGTTATTATAGGAGGTTATGATATGGAAGAAAAAGCCGCCAGAGCTTATGATCTTGCTGCACTCAAGTATTGGGGACCCTCCACCCATATCAACTCTCCTGTAATAATACCACTTTTCTCTTAAATCTAATTTAAAATTTCTCTTGTTATGATCATGCTAATTTAATATTCTTTAGTAATTATCACGCTTTACCTCATCTGAATCCTTGTTCTGAGCAGGTGGAGAACTATCAGAAAGAATTAGAGGAAATGAAAAACATGAGCAGGCAGGAATATGTCGCTCACCTCAGAAGGCAAGCTCATTTTTATCATGTGTATTAATGAGTTCTACTATATATAGCCGTAAATTAAAAATCTCAAGTTTGTATATCAATAATCTCTCAGAAGAAGCAGTGGATTCTCAAGAGGAGCCTCAATTTACAGAGGCGTAACAAGGTCTACTAAGTCTCAACTCAATGCTTTGTAGTATATTTAGATCTTGATCGTTTCTGTTTTGGATTTGTGTGGCTTTTCCAGTGAATCTCTGCCATTTGTATTATGTGTTGCAGACATCATCAACATGGAAGATGGCAGGCTCGGATTGGGCGAGTTGCTGGTAACAAAGATCTGTATCTTGGGACATTCAGTGAGTGCTTTTAGATGCTTTTATCTGCGAATATTTTGATGGAATAGCTTTCAAAAATAACTCATTTCCTAGAATGAAATTGAGTGTCTTTCCTGCTTTGGTAATGGTAGGGCTCACATTGTGAAACGAATTATTCAGAAAACCATAAGGCTGTGCTTGAATCGCTTTGTTGTAATTGTTTAATCCCTTTTCTTGTAGAGCAAAGATGCTCTTTTACATATGCATCCAGAAGTACATCTTTTTCTTACTTTGATTTTTAATTGCCGTTTGAATCTTTTAGGTACTCAAGAGGAAGCAGCCGAAGCCTATGACATAGCAGCCATCAAATTTCGAGGAATGAATGCGGTTACTAATTTCAATATCACGAGGTATGATGTGGAGCGGATCATTGCAAGCAATACCCTTCTTAGTGGCGATCTAGCTAAGAGAAAGCAGCAGCCTGAGTTTGATAATGAATCACTTAGACAAACCCCTCCTACTCACAACAGCAATTCAGAAGCTCTTCATTTGCCCACTCAGAGTAATCAAAGTGAATCAGAATGGAAGATGGCTCTTTATCAGTCGTCGCAACAGCTCATTCCAAAACCACGATTGCCGTCTGCTATAACCGATGATGGATCACAACTCGGAGTCGAAGACTCGGCAAGAATGGGAGCTCATTTCTCCAATGCATCTTCAATTGTGACCAGCTGCAGCTTTAGCAGCTCGAGGGAGGAGAGTCCAGACAAGACGAGCCTTTCAATGGTGTTCGGAATGCCTCAATCGACGTCTAAGCCATTTGCTACCTCTGGTAGTAATATGAACTCCTCCTCCTGGATTGCATCTGCCCAGCAGTTGAGGGCAGCAAATTGTATGAGCCAGTTGCCAGTGTTTGCTGCCTGGTCTGATAGTTGAGGAAAAGAATTTGATATTTACTGATGTTAGTAGCAAGAACAGGAACTTCAACTTATTTTAAACAATAGAGAAATGAAGTTCAAATTGGAGTCTCCCTGTTGTATCTCTATCTCTCTGTATTATTGTCTTTGTTTTTCCTTTGTTATCAAAGTCATAATTGAGCTCAGCTTTACTGGGGTTTCCGAAGTACACAAATGAACTGTGGATGAAGGGTGTGGCCCAGCAAAACATAGAGCTGATGGGTCAGCTCAACGCTGTGGCCTTTTGCTTTTAAAAGCCTTTGACCACAAACAAAAATCCTTTATCAATCTTCATCCATAACATCATCATTACTGATTCCCTCTTTTTTTATCTAAGCTTTTCTGAAAAGTGACGGACATTCCCTCCATAATACAAAGAGAGAAATTAAAAGGATTGTTTTTTTCTTTATTTTCTTTTCAAAATCTGGGCAATTAGACAACCGTACCAGGATTAAACTTATGTTTGGAGACAGACATATTGGGCCATATTCGGCAGAAAAAAAATGTCTGCTTTATTCAGAAAGAACATGCGTTATTTTCAAAGGAAAAAAAAAAAAACAGCACTGTATAGTGGCAGATTCAGTCCTTTTTCTCCACCCTTGTCCACTCACTGTTTAATCATGATGTTGGGAATTAAAGCAAAGAATTCGCATATCCTGATATCAAATATTGAATTATTATCCATCCACTGCACTATTTGATCATAAGATCATAATTTTTCTCCATGATTTTTGCAATGGAAAGAAGGTCATTCAACATCAATGAAGAACACGCCTAAAACTCAAACAAAGCAGCATGTAAAAACAAAAGGCAAGGACCGTGTCTGTGGAAAAAGCTACGGCGTGGAGAGGGGATTGGTAAGTCAAAAGGCAGCCCTATTTTCCATTAGCTCTCAGCAGCGTCTTGTTCTTGCATTCCTGATTTTGAAAGAGAGTTTCCATTTGGGTTCATCTCTCTTTCGAGACTAAAAGTTTGAAACTTTCGGCATGGAATCAGAGGACTTTACTTTATAAAATGTTTTGAAATGTGGTGTAGAATTACATTAAACATTTAGATTCTTTATGAGATTCTATTTCAATTTGTGGGATTATTCAGAGGGATGCTATATTTATGGACTTATGGACTTATGTGGTGACTATCATGTTTGGGCTTCAAGTCTGGCCCAAAACGTTATGGGCCAAGCCCATTCAAAATTTTAATGTCCATGATTGCGATGTGTCCAGGTGGCATTTATGATTTAATTGGGAAAAAATAGAAATAAAAGGGGAGAAAATAATAATAATAATAAATAGATAAAGTTGCTATGTCTATGTGGTGTATGATTAGGTGGAAAAGCAGCGTCCTACTTTCCTTCATTTTTAAGTTTGGTGTAGTTTAAAGGTTTTGCTTGGTTAGGGTCTTATTTGACGACATAAAATTTATCAGGGTTCGACCATTTTTGAAGAAGAAAAAACTACTTTCGAAGGCTATATAGTCAAGCAGGGTGGGAGCCCATTACTCAAGGGTAAAGAAATCTCGAGTGACCTTATAGATTGGAATAATGACCTCAAGATCACTCCTTTTAACACCTTTGACCTTATGTACGAGTCTAAACGAGTGTAATAGATAAGATTATATAAATATACTCACGAATAAAAAATAAAGAATGCAATACAATTGCGTTTAGGTCGACACTACTTTAGCCTCAATACTAAGCTCAACATCAAAACATGTTGAGGAAAGCACCACGTCAAAGTAAGTCGTCTATTTGTAAGGTAGTTGGATGTTGAAGTTCTCTGACCTGATCTACTAATTATATTCATGCATCAAACATATTCAAAATTAATATTTTCCAACTTTTTAAATTTATTTAAAGTTTGGAAGTCATAGTTGACGTAAATTATAGAGTAGAATGAGTTTGGTGGGTATGTGACAAATGTGTGAACTCAGAAGATGGGCCTAATGCAGATTGTAGCTTCGATTGGTATGGGTTTAGACCTTATCTGGGAATTATATGGACTGGACTTTGAATGTATTGTGTTCAATCATTGATTTTATAATTCCTTTTTGTATTAAATAAATAAATAAATGAGGAGAATTAAAATTTAAAAGGGGGAAGGAATGATAGAGCGTCAAATCCAAAAGCGTGGTGCAGAAAAAGGGGCCATACACAGATACGGTGTGTGGCAGTGCAGACACACAGCGGAAACTGAAAGGTGGTTGCTTGTAAGCCACACCTAACGCTAGCTCAAAATGAATTTCCATCGGTGGTTATTGGTGTGGCCATTGCCAATGCCAAGATTCTCTTTTGTCTCACACCTTTCAATTTTGAGTCCCCAGCCTCTTCATCCTCCGGCACAACGCCCCCGCTGTCACCCTCTGCCGCCTCTCAATTCTATTTCTTCCCCTTTCTTTCCTTTTCCTAAATTAAAAAGAACAAAAATGGTGGACTGGATAATGTTGTCGTCAGGGACCGTCGACAACCTTGGCCATCTTCAGTGTACGTGCCCTTGTCCTTCCCCCTCTCCTTCACTGTCTTGTCGTCCCTTCACTGTCTTGTCGTCCACTCTGGTCAAACGTTTTTGTTTTCTTCTTCCTCTATTATTCATTTCTTTCTTTTTTATTCTCTCCATATTTAAATTAAAAAGAAAAAAGTTCTTGGTGGACTTTAGTGGGCCTGAGAATTGGGCCCAGTATGTCAGGGGGTAAGAGGCTGGGCCCATTGGAAGGCTCGCTTTCAAGGGCATGAATCGGTCGAGGTGATCCCAACAGTGTGTTGCGGTGTTGGCACTCATGTTGGCCACCATGTTTACTTGAGACAAAGCACATTGAATTGAAACTCAAACCCCTCCCTATTTTGGATTTCATTTCATTCCAACTCCACGCACAAAATGCCTCCACCTTCTCAAAACAGTCATTCAGATTTATCCGGTAAAAAAAAAAAAAAAAAAACTTTGAATTTGATTTTATAAATTTTTTAATTGTATTTTCCAGAAGATTAAGAAAGTTACAGTGCTGTCGTTAATCAAATGAATATCCACGTATTAAATCAGAAAAAGAATGTTTTAGAATTTAAATTGTTTTAGATAGTAACGCCAGGCGAGAAAAGTTGTCGCGGACACGTGGGTTCATTTCATTAGTCCGGGCTTTATTTATATATATATTTTTTGTTTCCACACTTAAGTCGTACAATCCGTGATTGGGAATCGTTAAAATTTGTATTTTCTTTGGCTCATGCGCTCCCTGCTTACGCGTCATTTTATAATTGGCGAGAGTGGAAAATAAGTCATTCCAGTTGGAGTGGCAACGTGGACCCGCGGCCTATTTGCTTGACTGTAAATTGTTAAATGAATTTTTTTAATGACAACCTAGAATTATATTATATCTAAAGACTATATTTGTTGGGTAAGTTTTAAGTTTCCATTAATTTAAAATTAGCAAAAAACGAGACTGAAATTTTGGTAATTAATTTATTTATTTTTTGTTTAAAGGTGGATTATTTTATTCCTCCAGGCGATAATGATAAATAAAGTTATTTACTTTTTATGGATACTTGTTATTAATTGCTATTAATATGAGTCTATACTTTATGTTCTAGTGCCAATAAAGTTAGTTATTGTTACAGTGATGTCTTATATGAGATTTAATTGTTTCATATCCATTTTGTCTTGTTTTGCGTATGTATTAATTATATAAAATAATTTTTTTTATGAACTAACAAAAACTCTAAAATTGATTTATTATTTGAATTGCTTCTAAGAAATATTTTAGACTTTTATTTATAAAATATAATTATTTTATTTTTTTCATAAACTTTTATCAATTAATAAAACAAAATATTTAGGAGGATAAATGTAAAAGAATCATAACAAACAATGTTGGCACGATATAACAAATTTTATTATGCATTGAACTTTTAATTTTATGCATGAAAATCACGTACGTTAATAAATATTTTAAGTTAATCTTTTATTTAATCTCCACCAAATTAATGTATTAGTTTCAATCCAGAGCATGCAAAAATGATCTAAAATTCAGGAATTTGAATAACAGTCGTATGTCATTGGAGATTGACTAAATTAGAAAAATACATAGTATCAAAACAACTCTGGAAAGTCCAATGTTAAAAAAAAAAAAAAAACTAAATTAATAAAAACACACTTAATTGTACACATTTTCTTAAAATAACATTAATTTTTCAAAATTTTCAATAGATTTAAAAAAAAATTTCTTAAAAATTGAAACAAAAAAAAAAAAGATACATAGTTCAGGAGTATTTTTAATAATTTTTTTTATATGTTATCTAAAGTTCCATCATTTGATGCTTAATAATTGGTTTCAAGTTCATTTAAACACACAATCATTATTATCAATTTTAAAAAATAAAGATATATCAATAACTATTTAATTAAAGATTAACATATAAATAAAGTTGGTGGTGAAAATCAAATATGTTTTTGTATCCGTTAAATCAGAGAGAAAAGTCTATAAAGACACTATAGTCTAGGGTTTGACTCAGTCTTTCATAAATAAATAAATAATTATAATTACTTTTATTTGGGTGTATATTTGTATATTATACAGGAAGAGATTGAAAAGAAAAAAAAAAACTAAAAAGTAAAACTAAAAGCACTGTCTAGCTGGCAAGCTCTAAAAGTAGTGTTAATAAATCGATACACTTTTAATCAAACAACTAAATAATGAGTTTTATCACATTAGTATCAATAGGTGTTTATATTTTTAAAAGCGTCTATTGAAGTTTTTTTTTTTTTGAAGCTTGGATTTTAAAATAGTTTTAATAAGTTAGTCATATTTAGTATTTCTTTATTTATTAAATAAAAAAATTAATAAATATTTTATATGTTTTGAAAAGTAAAGTTGGAAATTTTTTTGAAATACTTTTGAGGCTATATTATTAATTATTTATCTCATAGTGTACCAGTTTAAAATAATTTATCTATATGCCTTTTAAATGATTTTTTCATGGACTATTTGATTGTCGAGCACCCAAATAAACATTATCAGACTCAAAGAGGTAAAGAGAATTATTTATTATTAATATCATTTCTAATGTCTCGATCTCCATTAACAATTTAATAGTCGAAGAAGAAGAAAGAAACAATAATCGAACCAATGATATCAGGTGAGCACGAAAAAAAGTTAACTT